CTCGGTATTTGCTCGGTAAAACCTGGTATAACTCGGTATTGGGTCTTCAAATGATGGTATTCTTCGTTATTATTTGGTATTGCTCGATATTTGCTCGGTACAACTCGTTTTTTGGCGGGAATTTGCCTCCGACCGGACGTTCCTCTACGTCCGGTCGGAGGACGTAATAATTGTTCCTCCAAATTAGTATCTAATGGTTGGTGAAGTTTTCTTCTGTAGATATATGAAAATTTTGCTACATATATTAAAATTATGATAAAATTTAAAAAATTATATAGAAAATTTTCTTAAAAAAACTATATAAAGCTATTAAACTTATGAATTTTCTTCCAAATTTTACATTCACCCATGTGGTGTCTGTTTGTTGCGACGGTTCAGAACTTGCTCTTTTTTTTTTAACAAAAACACATATATTAATAATCTCAAAAAATCGGATACAGCAACAAACAAAAAGAAAAAGCCCAAAAAAAGTCAAAAACCTCTAAAAACTACAAATAACCATGAGAAAAGCTAAAAAATCTCCAAAAATCGGGGGCTCAGCAGACGACCGAGGCTACCAGATCCTCAAAACCGCACAAGGACCATCCAGTAGAGGTTGCCACAAGGAGGCGACGAGGACACGAGCCCCAGCCACATCATTGCCCTGCAACCAATCATATGAAAAGAAAATCAAATCGATCCAACGAGAAGGTCAAATTATCTTTTTCTGCCGCCTCTACCCCAAAATTTTCCACGGAAAGAACCAGAAATTGGTCTATCACGAACCATTTTATACTCATTTCCAGGATCTGAATAGGAATCAGAATCAGAACCACCTTCCGACGAATTATGCATCCAATCACCATGTGATCTAACATCCACACCAGTCTTACCACCCACCTGCCGCATTAATGAGTTGGTAGTGATTACATTAACAGGAACATCAACCAAATTATGAGAAACAACCAAATTGCCTTGAACATCCGAAATATCAACCCGATTATCCTCCGGCATCGCAGCAATCAAAGAGTTTCGAATCGGTTCAACATGCTCAACACTCACAGGGCAAGACAAAGCACTAACAGTTTCCACCGCAACAACAGGCTGCACCGCCTCACCACCCAACAACTGATTAGAAACCATCGGATTCACCAAACAGCCAGCATCCACATAAATATTCGCACAAGGGTTTAGAACAGCAATTTCTTCCGAAATAGCATCAGTTAACAAAGGATTTCCCAACGATCTCCAGATTAGCAACCAAAGCATGTGGTAAGAAAGGCAAAGCATTAGGAGATAAATCTTTAGAGACAATTTCAGAATCAACAATGCCAACGTTAGTAACTACCGTTTCTATTCAGAACTTGCTCATAATTGGCATGTAAACCAACCTTTTAGCTTGCATCTTTGGGGTAGATTATCGAAGTAACCTGTAGCTGATCAACCTTCTTAATGTTATAGAGCTTTGAAAGCAAGGTATATGATTCTTCTTTATCATAATTTGCTTTAGATTAGTACTATTGAACAATCTACACAAAGGACCCTTTTTGTTTTCTTTGCCTCTGTAATTATGGTGTGCTGGCCTATGATTGAGGAAGCTATGATGGATGTCACTGTTTGTCTTTTTCTTAAAGCATATTTTTTCATTTATCATTTTAGTTCTTGTCACATCATTTAGATTTGTTTGGGACAATTTCCTTTATGCTTTCTAAAACAGCTTTTAAGTACAAAAATTTATAGCTCAACAAAAAATTTGTACTAAAAAGTTGCTTAGAAAGAAGTAAGAAAGCAGTCTCAAATGAAACCTTAATTAGATTGAATAGCTCTGCATTCCACGTCTTTTGATTCTAATTAGACCTTTTTTTGTTGTAAATGTCTTAAAATTTTATCGATGTTTTCTAATACAATTTATGTTAGAATAGGCTTTAAAATCATTAAATATTTTCAAAATTATACTGCATTTGAAGATTGTATTCCATTAATTTCAAATGAATTTAATTATTTTCAAGCTCATCTTGATATATTTATCAAATTTGCTTAATTAAATTTATCTATTTATCATATTTTTAATTAATTTGGCAGTATGTGTCATAATCATTCATTAATGATTAAATATAATAGTAATTAGTCTACTAATTTTTTTAATTAAATAAGTAAACATTTTATAGTTATATATTAATTATTTGCTAATATAAAATGACTTAGAATACCTTATTATGCTTATAATTAATTATCCTGATTGTTCTCCATACTATCTGACCTATTAATCAATTAGTTTATTATCCTTATTATTACCTGTTGAATTCATCTAATTATTTTAATTGACTGACTAATTATCCTAATTGATGCACAAGCAGAATAATAAAATTTTTAATATAATATCAAATTATTTATAAATGTGAACTAATTAAACTATCAATGACTAAATAGTATAATTAAAATGCTAATGATCATTTAATCTTCAAATAGTCCAACTTGTGTGCTTCTCATTATAATAGAGGCAAATATTACAATTGAAATTTACTATTCTATTTTTTGAGAGCAAATTTCAAAATGAGAATGCTATACAATCAAGCAGTATTTGCCTAAAAGCCTTGATCAAAAAGACAAAATAGTGCTTACATATCACATAATATATGAACAAGTTATTTGTATGGTCTACAAGTGTGTAACCAGCTTAATTTTCATGGGGGGCAAACTTATAAGTAATTGTCGGTGTTGATTCAAATTTGACTCGACACCTTATTACAATAAAATGGGTCAATAACGACAGATCTGATAAAATAATTATAAAAGAAAAAAAAATAAATTATAAATTAAATGATACCAAAATTTAGGATTTAGCTTCAACGAAATGTACATCTATGAGAAAGAAGAGATCTAAAGTACTAATAAACATAGAAGACTCAATCATTTTATACAAAATAAAGGTCATCACCCTATTTAAAATCCAAATAAACCTATGAACAAATAAACAAATAGCCTAAATAATCTCTTGCAAAAGATAGTTATATTTCATAAATTATCAAAATTAAGATATTTGTATTACTAAAAACCTTTGCTATGACGATGTCTTGATTCTTCTTCCCACATGAAACCCTATACTAAATAGAATGTTACCAAATGCTCCATTAATGACTTGAGAAATTCCAAATTCCAAAAGATCCTCCCTATCTTATAGTCATTGGCCTTTTTAAATACCTCAAGAGAAAAGTCATATTTGACTTGATGTAATTGAACAATCACCCTAATTTCATGATAGGAAATTGTTCATACTATAAAGTACAAACATATATCCTAGTAAAAACACATAAATTATTGTGACAACCTAATTTATACAAATCAAATAGATCAAAATCGTTCGATCCTATAATTTTTAAATAGGGCATACTTTAGACATCTCTCATAAAATATTGAGTCATATTTAATATAAAAAAATTAATATACTAAAAGAGATTAAATATTAATAAACAAAAATTTGTGCAATGATAAATAATATTAGAGTAATACACCAACTAGAAGTTTTATTTTATGTAAAGCAAATTGCTTCACCATAAGAAAAGTCTCTAAAATCATACATGACATGTTGATACTAATAATATAACTTCTTTAATTAGAAGAGAATAAGGCCCATCGAATATCCTGGAATAAAACTCTTAAGTATTAAGAAGTGTTCTAAGTATACTCATTGAAAACTTTTGAACTCCAAAATTAAACATTTTTAAATTAAAACACTTCTAAGGTTTCGTTTGGGTCAACTTTCTTACTGCTTTTTAAAATAATTTTTATTACAAAAAGTTTTTGAGCTATAAATTTTTGTACTAAAAAATTATTTTAAAAAACAGTGAAGGAGCTGTCCCAAACGAAAAGTCTAAGACATAATCTATCTAACACGCACTCTAAAAACAAAATGTTACTTAAAAACTTCTCACGTTTGATTTAGAAATCGCATACCATGATAATGAAATACAATTTTGCTAGTATTTTATTTTAGAATTTATTATAGCTGTAATGAGTGTTGATACTTCCTAAGAATAAAAGTATTCATTAAAAATTCCAAACATTTAGCCATTTTAAACACCGTATCTAATATCTTGCCATGACCTATATTTTTAAATGTTTGTAACTCAATTGACCGTATCAAATTTTTTTACTGTTTTTTAAAATAATTTTTTAATACAAAAATTTTAATTTTGATATAAAAAATTACTTTAAGAAGCAGTAAGAAAACCGTCCTAAACAAAACCTCTATCAGTCATCAATATTAACCCTACTTCGCATTGGTAATCAGCCTACATACAGCACAAGCAAGCTCTACGGTGAACAAATATCATGAAGCACGAGCAACAAGAGTTAAGCGAGATAGCTAAACAATTTATTAAAAGAGAAAGGGTCTCTTTGGCTGAGTAGAGAAATTATTCTGCAGAGTGTCTGATCAAGAAGAACCATTCAAACATGTGAATATACACATACTGTACACAATATATATAAATAGATATGACACACTATGTACAAATACACTCACAATGTAGATGATTCTTCAAGTCCAAACTCTCTACAAAATATTTTCTCCATTGACTGGCCTTAAAAAAAATAAGATAATTATTGCCTATATCTGAGATCTCCATAAAATAAGAGTCTATTTGGGACAGTGGCAACATTTTATAAAATTAGTTGAAAAATTATTATATATATATACAAAAAAAACTTCTCTATTATATTTGTAAGAAAATAACTTTCCACAACCAAAATTTTTGACAGGTAATGAAAAAATAATAGTTAAATAAAATTATAATTGCTATCTCAAAGATAAATCAGCCAAAAAGCTATCCCAAATGAAACCTAAGTAACCCAGATCCATATGAATGATTTACATTAATTAAAATTATGATAAAGTGGAAGAGTAACAGTAACTAGTCCAAATAAGATGCTTCACGAATATATGCCTCTCACCACAAAAGACTAGGTGCTTCACAGATTACCTTTGATTTTCACATAAACATTCATTAAAAAAAAAGATGGTGAAGAAATTAGAAGTGTTTTTTTTATTTTCCTACTAAATGCAAAATTAATTGTATCTGAACAAATGTAAGGCAAAGTGGACATCATTATTGAGATATTACACCTTATTAGTCAGTGAAAATTGAAAGGCAAATCACAGGGGAAGGGCCAATCAATGAATTGAAACTAATTCTCAAGTTATAAAAAAAAAAAAAAAAGAGTCAAAGCTCTGTCCCGTTTCTCTAACAGTTAACCTCTCTACACCTCCACAGATCAAAAATTTAACCTGCAAACAATCTTTAGTTAAAAGATATCTGCCACCTACAATCTACGAAGAAGGAATAACTGTGCAAGAATATAATTTGAAACTAAATGGCTTGTTACAGTTCAAAGATTAGAAAATACAAGTTGCATGTAATAATATTCAAGAAAAAAAAAAAGGGGAAAAATACCAGAAAATCAGGCCACTATATGCTCACAAAAAATTGGATTCGTAGTAAACACTAAATTATATATGACATCTTAGAATGGCTGAGATATTAAAACTAGCATACAAGTTTTATCTTCATATTTAATTAGTGGATATCTAATTTAAATATTGACCATTCTAACATAAGGATGAATGGTTTAGATAAGAGCTTCTAAGCAGTGAAGGCAGCAATTTGGAGCGCCGCAGACAACAAATCTGCCTTCCGGAGCTTGGACAACAGTTCATCACCTCCCTTCTCCATTTTCTCGCCTTTTGACAAGGCGAGTGGAGTGTGATTTGAGCCGTGACAACCCGGTGAGGTAAAACACTTCAAACATCGAAGTTCCCTAGGTCTCCAAGCCATTTGACGTGTGTCTGACGTTCAAAAACGTTATTGACATAGAAAACCCAAGCATTTAATTTCCAAACCTTCAAGAAACCTATTTGTTCGCTGTACTCTTAGTCCAATCATGCAAATCTAGTGATTTTTTTGTAATTACTCTCATGTGAGGGTCATAAGCGTGTCCAATGCCTCTACCTTGCATGAAATGCATTCACGTTGTTTCCCTAGCCGTCACCCACAATAAAACCATAGGATTGCATTGCCATTTGCTTCAAAATCAAATGTCAATGTATATATTTCAAGCATGGGAGTTTGCTCTTGATTGGGCTTTGCACTTGAGAGCCTTTGTCTTTTTGGAAATGTTAGAGAAGGATTTAATTAATTTAGAGAACTTGTGTTTTGTCATGGATCTTGCATAGACTCTCAAAGGTCTACATTATGGAGCCCATGATTAAATAATTAATTGAGCATCTTTTACACGTACAAAATCTCATTGCATAAAAAAAAATATTTAGGGAATCGCTCTACTATACCAAAATTCCTAAGGTTTGCAAAGTTTATAAAGTATGCTCATTTAATTTCAATCTCCCATGGAGCAAATTTGGAGTATTTTATGAACCCTCAAAGGCCCATAGTTAATACGCCACCACATTTAGAAATTATCTAAGCCTATTTCATTCATTTTGCAAATGAAAAGTACTCAAGTGCAAGACTTCTTTGTGTTCCTAATATCTCCTAATCATGACAAAATTGATTTAGGAATCCTTCTAAAGCGTTAGGAAACCAACCTTCCCTCTCCAAATGAATCCAAAATATTCATGCAAGAAATAGGGAGTTCTCTTTCTTCTACACATCCTCGTCATTCATGATAATTGGGGTTTCCTCAAGACCCCAAGTGTTAGATTGCATGAATCTTATAACCTTGGGATCAAAATCCCATGTTCATTTCACCTCTTGTTTGTTGATACACAAAATCAACAAACTTTCACTTCTTTTTCTTCCATGCATGACTTTTAGAACCTTCTCAAGGTTCCAAATATTTTAGTGCACTGGTCATTGGGTATTAGAAACAAAACATAAGCAATCCATCCCTTATTTGTTGACACAAAATCAACCAACATGCACCTCTTCATCCATTCATGCATGACATTTGGAGCCTCTTCAAGGTTCCAAATGTTGTGTTGCATGAGTTCTTGGATCTTAAAAGCAAAGTCCAAGTCATCCTCCATTTGTTTGTTGAAAATACAAAATTAATAACATCCATCTATCTTTCCCTTCCATGCATGATATTTGGAGCCTCCTCAAGGCTCCAAATGTTGCATTGCATGACTCCTAGCATGCCTTAGAAGTTACCACCAATCTTCCTCATGTCTTGTATTATGAATTTCTCCAAAGTCCTAAGCACGTCATGTTGGAAGTTCTTGAAATTAGAACCAAATTCTGAGTCTTTCTATCCTATTCATTGTGATACAAAATCAATGAGTAATCTTCTAGACATAGGATCCAAACCTAGTCTTCTCATTTGTTAGCCCAAATTAAGCAAGTGCACATCTTTATTTAAATACCAAACGCTCAAAGAAACTCCTCCATTTACTTAGCCTAAAATAAGTGGTCATCTCTCTTTGAACACCAAGTGTACTTTGTGGTCATCTCTTTGAACAACAAGTGTTCAAAGAATATCCCCAATTTACAATCATTGAATTGCAATTTTCTCCTCATTTACCTAGACCCAAATTAGGCAAATGCACATCCCTCTTTGAGCACCTAAAGTTCAAAGGATTTCCCTTTAAGTTGCAACCTTTAAGACATCTTTTTTTCTTCTTTCTACGAATAAAAAATTGTAAAAAATTCCTCCATTCACTTAGCCTAAATTAACTGAGTGTATATCTCTGTTCTTAAACACCAAATGCTCAAAGAAATTCCTCCAAATAGTAGCATCTAAGTTGAACATCGTTTTCCCTTACTTACCTAATGCAAATTAGGTAAATAATTATGCTTCATTGAAGGCAAAATTCAAAGATTCATCCTCAAATTTGCAACCTCAAACTTGCACATTGCACCTCTCTTTCTACAACTCAAAGGATGTAAAAAATTCTTTTATTTTTCTCACCCAAATTAGGAGAGTGTACATCTTCTCTTTAAACACCAAATGTTCAAAGAGTGTTCATGAATTTGCAACTCATAAGTTGCATTTTTCTTTCTTTTCTACAAACTAAAATTGTAGAGAAATTCCTCTCCCTACAACTCAAGAGTTATAAGAAATTCCTACATTCACTTCACCCATATCAAGTGAATCAAACATACACCCAAACCTATCTATTTGTTGAACCAAAATCATCCCGAATTATTTATTTGTTGGGTCAAAACCAACAAATACTCCTATCTTCCATTTCATTCTTCCAACCCAAGTTTGGAAGAATGAATTCTATTCTTTAGACACCCAAAAGTCCAAAGAATCCCTCATGATGTGTAATCAAGCTCACATGTCATTTTTCTATGTTTGCTTTACCTACATTTAACAAACTAAACTTTCATCATTGGAACAAAATTCAATGATTCGTCATTTCATTTGTTTAGCCTAAATTAAAAAAATAAATCTCTCTTTGAATACAAAAATCCAAAAAGACTCCTTTTGATTTGTAGCCTAAAGCTACAAATCTTCTATCATTTCTATGGACTCCAAAAGTCCTAGAAAAATCCTACAAACTCTTAGCCTCAAAGCTATGAGTTTCATTTCTTTCCTCTTAGCTCCAAAGCTAAAGGGAAGTCTCCAACAATTAGCACAAAAGCTATATGTTGTATTTCTTCTTTTCGTTTCTTTAGCCTCAAAGCTAAAGGAAACACTCATTCCTTAGTCTCAAAGCTATAGGTTTCCTCTCCATCTTCTCCAACCTCTAAGTTGTAGGAAATTTCTCCTCTCTTTAGCTCCAAAAGCTAAGAATTCTCCAATATTTAGCCCAAAAGTTATATGTTGGATCCCTACATTCCCCCTTCTTAACTCCACAAGCTAAGAGGAATCCTACAATATCTAGCCCAAAAGTTACAAGTTGGACATTTTCCTCTGAGAGCCAAACTCTAAGTAACATTTCATTTAACAAAACAAATGATCTCTCCTTATGACAACTAAAACTTAACCTTTAGATGTCCTTTAGAAGTTTTCTACCCATTGAAATTCATCTCACACTATTAGATGAATTTCATAAAGTCCTAAGTACAACCTTTAGACATATTCACCTTACACTATTAGGTGAACATTCATCTCTTACCCAACACTAAGAGAACCCCAAATTTTTTTTTTTAAATCACTTAAATTTCCTTTGATACAATGATTAATCATCTCACCCAAAATGCGGGATACCTACATGATTGTGTCTTAGGACTTCATAAGTAGCAGGTTTGCCTCAAAATAAATAGTGGCTGCTTTATAGGTTCTTCATAACCCTCACAAATATGAAATATTTAAAAGCCAAATAAAATCTTTAATTCATAAACAACTTAAAGAGAAATCACCATTGGATTAAAATTAAACACATCTAATCCTCAATAAAATAAAACAACTTTTATAGTGTGACATGCCACACAAGCCTCACACACTTAGGTGCACAGCCTCCTAGGCATGTTAGGATTATAATTTTTCTTTTTTTGCGTATGTGTTTGATGATTTGGTATGATTATCTTTGGATTATCTGCATTGTGGGCACTTACCCTTAAGTGGTTAACACACACACACACACACACACACACACACACACACACACACACACACACACACACACACAAAATTGATCTGAGTTGTATGATAACAGACAACTCATCTGTCAAATCTGCTTGTAATAATTTGGACTCTACAATTTATATTTCTTTTAGCTGATTTACATATATATACATGTGTTGATTGTTTGCTGGGTGTGTAAAAGAAACAGTTTTTTTTCTAGGTTTCTTCTCTTATTTTATTTAGGGGTGGACTGGACTTTTGATGCGGTAGGTTCTTAGGATAAAATAAATTTTCTACCCATTAAAATATAAACAACTTAAAATCAATTTTAGGCTTCATGCTTTTCAAACAAAAAGAAAAATTGCATGTCTCCCTTCAAGGAGCTAAATTTTCAAAAAAAAATGAAAATGATAATGCATAACCCAGTGAGTCTCATGTAGAAAAACTCTCACTTAAGGATCATATAACCAAAAAACAAAAATTTGTATTTATGAGACAACATTTTGCATACCCTTTATTGTCAGGCATCTTAGCCTCAAAGCAAAGCTGTAAGTCATATCCTCTAAATAAAAAATAACCTTCTTTACTGTTCATATGTATTTGAGACCGGACTACATGGTTTTAAAAGCGTTTAGGTAGATTAGCTGGTAGCTCTATCCAGGCAGAGCAAAAAATCTAAAGGTCGGGCTGATTATGCCTCATGTAAGGTATATAGTTTGTAAGTCTCTTGCACTCTGTTAGACTTAGGTTCGAGACACT